AAGCATATGCCTCATAGCCATCATTGCCATGGGGGGGGGGCAGTTTAGTAGCCTGAAAGGCTTCATTAATACTTATCTCCTAGAAAATCTTACCGTGAGTGGAACAGGCAGAAATTGTTTTATATGCTTTTAAGTCTCTGAGAGAAAAGTGCTAATGATATGCAAGTTCTTCCTAGACGTTGTTGTTGTTATGTGCCGTTGAGTCAGCCCCGACTCATAGCTACCCCTCCTTGGATTTCCGAGGTGATATCACTACGGAAGTAGATTGCCTAACCTTCCTTCCGAGGAGTGGCTGGTGGGTTTGAACCACCAGCCTTCTGGTTAGCAGTCAAGTGCTTAGGCACTGTGCTACCAGAGCTCCTAGACATTAGTAAACTCATATTGAAGAAAAACCTTCTGATGTAGGGACTACTGAAACACTCCTCAAACTTTGTGCAGCCTTTACTAAATATCACATCATTAATGCTCCCAAAAAAGGCTGAAGGAGGAGCAGCAAATTCAGAAGCTCATACCCAAAATGGGTCAAATACGACAGCTCCCAACCCACATCCTGGTTGTCAGTTTAGTTCCCAGCTCTTTACCTTCTCCCGTTGTGCCCACTAATCTCCCCTTTTTTTCACTGAAGTCTCAGTCCCTCCCCATCTCCTGGGGCAAACCTGATGGAGACAGGAAGCATTTCAGCACTCTTCTTGTTTCCACTTCCTCGTTAAGGATTAAGTCACCTGAAGCCCCAGGATCTGATGACTCATTTATGATTTCTGGGCTTAAGTGATGCTCCCATCACCTCCAGGGGTAGTTCTTGCACCTTCCTCACCTCTTCTTTTGGCTGCTCCTTGTAAGGCTTTGCAAAGGTCCCTCCCCCATTCTCCATAACCCAACACTCACCAAAGACCGTGCGAGCGGGGACAGACTCTCTGTTGAGCCAGAAAGACACCTGTGACAGAATGACAGTCATGATACATGGCAGGTAGGTCTGGATCACAAAGTAGCCAATTTTTCGCTTGAGATGGAAGTGGGTTGTCATGACGACATATTCTCCTGGAGAGAGAGAGAGTAAAATTAGGTAGGATAAAGCCTCATAAACTATTGTTAGATCAAGTTGGGCTCCAATTCAGTTTATAATGCTCCTCAACTTTATATTCAAAATAAGCCATCCCAGCACCTCCCAAGACCATATAACAACATCTCTTTAATAATCCTGATACAGTGTGTGGTTGTGTGTGTGTGAAAATATATACTAACAGTACACTCACACTGTCAGCCTCATACGCATGTGAAATGTGGACAATGAATAAGGAAGATCAAAGAAGAATTGATGCCTTTGAATTGTGGTGTTGGTGAGGAATACTGAAAGAATCATGGACTGCTAGAAGAATGAACAAATCTACCTTGGAAGAAGGATGGCTGGAATGCTCCTTAGAAAAGAGAATGCCCAGACTTCACTACTTGTGCTTTGGTCATATTATCAAAAGGGACCAGACACTGGAGAAGAATATCATGGTTGGTAAAGTACAGGGTCAGCAAAAAAAGGGGAAGACCCTCAACAAGATAGATTGACACAGTGGCTGCAATGATGGACTAAAACATAGCAAAGCCTGTAAGCATGGCACAGGACCAGGCAGTGTTTCGTTCTGTTGTACACAGTGTCACTATGAGTCAGAACCAACTTGACGGCACCTAATAACAACAACAGCGTACCAACACAGCTTGTTTAGAGCAACTTTGACACAAACTCATTCAAATAAATTAATGTTCTCATTTAATTAACTTTACGAAATAACAGTCTCTTCTATAGTACTTACTACATGATAGGCACTCTTCTAGTACTTGATACCCTTAAAATATTGAATCTTTCCAACCACCTACGAGGTCAGTACTATTGTATCTTTATTTCACAGGACAAAAACTGAAGCAAAAAGAGACTAAATAACTTGTACAAGGTCACCAAGCTAGCAAGTGTTGTTGCTGTTAGGTGCTATTGAGTTGGCTCCGACTCATAGCAACCCTATGTACAACAGAATGAAACACTGCCCAATCCTGTGTCAGCCTCATGATATTTGCTATATATGAGCCCACTGTTGCAGCTACTGTGTCAATTCATCTCATGGAGGGCCTTCCCCTTTTTCATTGACCCTCCACTTTACCGACCATGATACCCTTCTCCAGGGAACGGTCCCTTCTGACAACATGACCAAAGTAGGTCATACGAAGTCTGGCCATTCCTGCCTCCAAGAAGCATTCTGACTGCACTTCTTCTGGGACAGATTTGTTAGTTCCTCTGGCAGTCCATGGTACTTTCAGTATCCTTCGTGAACACCACAACTCAAAACCATCAACTCTCCTTCGGTCTTCCTTGTTCATTGTCCAGGTCTCACATGCATATGAGGTGATTGAAAATACCATGGCTTGGGTCAGGCATACCTTAGTCTTCAAAGAGGCATCATTACTCTTCAGCACCTCAAAGAGGTCTCTTGCAGCAGATTTGCCCAATGCAATACGTCTTCTGATGTCTTGACTGCTGCTTCCATGGGTGTTGATTGTGGAATCAAGTAATAAATCTTTGACAACTTCAATCTTTTCTCTCTTTATCGTGATGCTGTACATTGGTCCAGTTGAGAGGATTTTTGTTTTCTTTATGTCAAGATGTAATCCATACTGCAGACTGTAAGTCTTCAATCTTCAACAGTAAGTGCTTCAAGTCATCCTCACTTTTAGCAAGAAAAGTTGTGTCTTCTGTGTATTGCAGGCTGTTAATGAGTCTTCCTCCAATCCTGATGCCATGCTTTTCTTTTCTTTTTTTAATTAGGATTTGGGTGAAGATTTACAGAGTAAATTCACTTTTCATACAGCAGTTCACATATACTTTGTCTCATGTCATTGACCAAAATTTACAATGGTTTTGAGTTGCTTTTCTTCATATAGTCTAGCTTCTTGGATTATTTGCTCAGCATACAATTTGAATAAGTATGGTGAAAGAATACAACCTTGATGCACTCCCTTCTTGATTTTGAATCATGCAATGGGAAGTTGTCAAAAATGAAATGGAACATACAAAGAACCCTTGTTCTGTTTGAATGACAGCCTCCTGGTCTATGTGCAGGTTTCTCATGAGCACAATTATGTGTCCTGGAATTCCCATTCTTCTCAATGTTATCCATAATTTGTTATGATCCACACAATCAAATGCTTTTGCATAGTCAATAAAACACAAATGAGCATCTTTCTGGTATTCTTTGCTTTCAGCCAAGATCCATCTGACACCAGAATGATATCCCTCATTCCATGTCCTCTTCTGAATCCAGCTTGCATTTCTGGAAGTTCTCTGTCAATATACTGCTGCAACCATTTTTGAATGATCTTCAGTGAAATTTTACTTGCATGTAATACTAATGATATTGTTTGATAATTTCCACATTCTGTGGGGTCACCTTTCTTTGGAATGGATATAAATATGAATCTCCTTCAGTCAGTTGGCCAGGTAGCTGTTTTCCATATTTCTTGGCATAGCAGAGTGAGTGCCTCCAGCACAGCATCTGCTTATTGAAACATCTCAATGGGTATTCTACAACTCCTGGAGCATTGTTCTTCACCAATTCCTTCAGCGCAGCTTTGACGTCTTCCTTCAATACCGTTGGTTCTTCATCATATGCCATCTCCTGAAATGGATGAACATCAACCAATTCTTTTTGGTACAGTGATTCTGTGTACTCCTTCCATCTTCTTTTGATATTTACTGCATCATTCAACATTTTGCCCATATAAACCAAAACCAAACTCACTGCCATCGAGTCGGGTCCAACTCACAGGGACCCCTCCTTGGGTTTCTGGCATCACTACGAAAGGAGCTCTGGTAGCGTAGTGCCTAAAGCACTTGACCGCTAACCAGAAGGCTGGTGGTTCAAACCCACCAGCCACTCCTCGCAAGGAGTTGGGGCAATCTACTTCTGCAGTGATACTGCCTTGGAAACCCAAGTAGGGGTCGCTATGAGTCAGGTCAGACTCGATGGCACATAACAACAACAACAACATCACTACGGAAGTAGATTGCCCAACCTTCCTTCCAAGGAGTGGCTGGTGGGTTTGAACCACCAGCCTTCTGGTTAGCAATCAAATGCCTTAGGCACTATACCACCAGAACTCCCATTTTGCCCATAGAATCTTTCAATATTGCAACTTGAGGCTTGAATCTGTTCTTTAGTTCTTTCAGCTTGAGAAATGCCAAGCATTTTTGGTTTTCTAACTCCAGGTTGTGGCCCATTTCATTATAATAATTGACTTTGTGTTTTTGAGCTGCTCTCTGAGATCTTCTGTTTGGCTCTTTCATCTTGTTGATCCTGCCATTTGCTTTAGCTACTCTCCATTCAAGGGCAAGTTTCAGAGTCTCTTCTGTCATCCATGTTGGCCTTTTCTTCCTTTCCTGTGTTTTTAATGACCGTTTGCTTTCTTCATGGATGATGTTCTTGATGTCGCCCCACAATTCCTCAGGTTTTTGGTCATTGGTGTTCAATACATCAAATCTATTCTTTAGATGGTCTTTAAATTCAGGAGGGATGTCATCAAGGTCATATTTTGGCTCTCATGGACTTGTTTTAATTGTTTTCAGCTTCAACTTAAACTTGCATATGAGCAACTTATGGTCTGTTCCACAGTCAGCTGCTGGCCTTGTTTGGCTGAAGATATTGAGCTTCTCCATCATCTCTTGCCACAGATGGAGTCAATCTGATTCCTGTGGACTGCTCCATGTGGTGAAGTCAATGTGTATAGCCACCACTTATGTTGTTGAAAAAGGATATTTGCAATGAATAAGTCATTGGTCTTTCAAAATTCTATCATGTGATCCCAAGGCCATATTTTGAACTACCAGTGATTCTTCTTTGTTTCCAACTTTTTCATTCCAATCACCAGTGATAATCAATGTGTCTTGATTGCGTATTCAGGTCAATTTCAGACTGTAGAAGTTGGTAAAAATTTTCAATTTCCTTGTCTTTGGCTTTGGTGGTTGATGCATAAATTTGAATAATAGTAGTATTAACTGGTCTTCCTTGTAGGCGTATAGATATTATCCTATCACTGACAGCATTGTATTTCAGGATAGATCTTGAAACATTCTTTGTGACAATGAATTCCAC